AGTCAGCTGAAGATTAGTTTCTGTCCCTGCTCTATACAGCCATAACTCTGAAAAATATTTTAAACTTTATTCTGCTTTTCAAAAACAAGGTGTATATTATATTCTGGGGCATGTGGTATTCAAGAAAATATGGTAATCAGTCCTCAAGTTAATGCTGCAATGAGTAGTACAGCATTTTGTATACTCTGGTGAAGAAGTAATGAAACAGTTGCTATGAGGCAACATTTGTTTTAAGAAACGTTAAGAGGATGCATTAAAATATCAGCGTTTGGGCAAATGACAATTTCTTCTTATTCTCACAAATATGTTCTGGCCTTCCTCCATTCACTTGGGCCATCTGGTACTCTCCAACTCCTAAAAATGGTATGCAGAAGCTTCCTCAGAATTGCTTCTTGTTTACCCCTCTCTGTGTCTGAAGCTCACATTTCTTGCGTTTGCAGTGATCAATAGTGGCGAGTGCCAGTTTAAAGGAGGATCTTTTCACAATGATCCAGAATCATGTTTTGCTCAAGATGAATACAGAAGAAAGGATGGTATTTTAAACAAGCAAAACACAGAGAAGCTAATATCACTATTTTCTGAAGATGCTCAAACAAAACAAGGAGCCAAGGACAACACAGGCTACTATGACCAGACTGAGTGCCTGGAAGACCTTAACTGTGTGCTACAGATTATTACTAACACCATTTCCTCATCCCTTACATTGCTTAGAGTCTGATGCAAGTCAAAAGGCCATGCAAGTTAAAGTAGGAATGTTTTTTTTCTCTGTATTTTGAAAACTTGGAGACAGCTCTCATTATCATTTTTTCTCTAATTGTTAAGGCATGAATGTGAATGTGTGTTAATGCCATACCACAGGCATACAAACAACTGTAGAACACTATTAAGACACTGATTTATTGATCTGATTCTAATGGTGACCTGGATTGGGTAATTCTGCTGTACAATTATTACTTTAGTGGATGTTTATCATAGAACATTTATGGTAAATTTGTTCTATTTTTAAGTGTATTCTTTATTGACTGTTATTAAAACCCATAAAATACAGGGACTACTTTTTTTCTTAAATTACCAACATGGATCAGAAACCTCTTAAGCAAATTAGCCAAATTACTTAAAAGCCATTGTCTCTTTTACCAGGTTATACTGCTTGGTTTTCACAGTAGTTTCATAGTAGCTTTTTCCATAGGCTTTCTGAACATTTAAGCCATTGTGTCCAAATAGAACGAATGCAACTTTTCTGTAAATAAAGTAAATTTTTTTTGTTCAAATGGTTTGGTTGGATAGGAAGAAGCACTGGCTCATTAACATGAAGACCTGTGATCATTTCAATATTTTTTTTTTAAGTAACAGCCAGGAAATGAGCACATCACCAATCACCAACAGGAGTGCTTTCTTTTGGGCACTGTAAGCAGGTCACTTAGCCTCCTGGTCTTGCAGGAGAATTCACTCCCTAATGAGTTCCTCAGGCAGTTCTTCTTTAAGTGAACAAATAATACAAAATCCCATGTCCTCTCCACGATACTAGAAGAAAACCCCTTTCTGCTCTGGCTTCTCCATGTAGCCTGCAGTAACCCAGTCCCTCCTTGCAGTAAGCTGTTCTGTTCACAACTTGCTTCTTTCTCTCCCTTGATTTCTCTTCTGGGTGCCTTTAGAGATTTGTGGAACGCTCCCTCGTGTTGAGAATGCCCCAAAGCTGGACTTTCTGAACAAGGCCAGCTGTTCCTTTTCAAAGGGACAGACTGGCCTGTTACAGGCATAAATGCACTCGTCATGCTCCACGGCCATCATAAAGCATGATTTCCTTCCAGCAGTCTGGTCAGATCTGTCCTACCAACAAAACAGTCTTCATCTTGTGTAATCTATCCCTGTAAACATCTTGAACATCACAAAACTGGTGAACAGTAAAAAGATATCCAAACTCTGGATATCCACTCTCATGGTATTCTGTTTCATCTAGGAAACAGAATACCGTGAAGTGTGAACACCACACAGGCACTTGAAAGTGAAATATCTTGCTGAAGAAGATGAATAAGAACAATCACAAATGCAAATTTCTTCCTTGAAATGGTCTTTAAGTCTTATGACTACCCAAGAGCATTGTAATAGTCTCATTCCACATCCAAGTTCCCTTTGTTAATGGCTATATGCCACTCAAATTGGCTTGTTTCAATGGACCATCATAGGTCACAATCTTAATATGAAGCTTCAAGTTCTGACAGCATGAAGCATGGGCAATGCGTAGGGGGTGCATGCAGGTTCATGTGCACCCCGAGATCAGCCGTGCACCCCCTGGAAGCGCCAGCTGTAAAACTGGAAGGAAGTGCACTTTTGGTTTTGCTGCTGGCTTGGTGATTGGCTGCGGGGGGGGACGCTCCCCTGTCGGCAATCTGGTGCCTCCCCAGACTCGGGAGGCACCAGTCACCCGTGGCATGAAGCTTATTCTAAGCATCACTAAACAAGTGGAAAAAGCTTGCTTATGATGCCATCAAAGGTTTTTTCTGAACAAAGGTGGAATTCTGATCGCAACATTTTTTCAGGAATCTAAACCAAGTTTATTATTCTGCAAACTTCTACATGGAAGCACTTTATGTGAGAAATTTCATTTACCCCTGTGAAATAGTAAAACTTTATAGTCTCCATTACTGTTGAATCCTTTTTTCCTTTGTATAAAACATTATCTTTTATGAATGTGTTTTTATTATAGACGTTGTTTAATCTACTCTAATTCAATTTTTAAAATGGACCAGTAAAACTTACCTATCAAAGTAATTGGTTTGACTTAAGATATTACAACCATCTTCCCAACATGAATCAATAAACACTTGTTAGCTAGCAGTAGAAAGAAACTGCACAATAAACTGTAAAATTATCACTCATGATTACTGTAAAATGGAATGCAAGTGGTTTTTAAGCATTTGGTTAGCTAACGGCTAAACCAGCTGTTAGATGACAGCTTTGATAAGCACACATTTTTTTGATTGATGTAGCTGAATATGACAATGTGCTGAATTTTAACAATTCCTCAAACTTTCAATGAAGCACTGAATTATGCCTCAGTTTCTCAAGTTTTTCAACCAATTTGATAACCATTGCATTTGCACTAGAATTTGAAAAAATATTGCAATACTATTTCTTCATACTGTACGTGAACACAACAACTATTGTTCCGTAACTGTACTTCAACAGCAAACTCATTTTTTTCATTCTTCTCTGGAAAATAATTGTTTAATGAGTAAATACTGACAGAGTGCTGAAACTTTCATAAAACAGCTTTTTTTTGTGACATATCACAAGCAACAATCTTTACACTGAACTTTGCTGCTCCACTTTTCCTTTTCTGAACCGTTATTCTAGTAACACAACAAAATCTGACTTCATATTAGCAATGTGTTAGGAAACATATGCATAGAAACAACTGCTTGTTCTGCACATATTAGGTCAGCTAGAAGGAGCAGTTTAAATTGTCTGCATCTCAAATGATCAATGATTACCACCCATCTAATATTTGTTTCTGCATCTGCATGAGCAGTAAAATATGCAATATTAGAGTTAGGGCAGAAACAAAATGCTTTATTTTCATGAAATCTTTCTTGAAATAGATATTCGGCAGATAACTAGACCAGATTTGTTCTTTTTTGGCAATAAAGGTTACCAACTATTAGGGCGCATCTACACATCGCCATATGTAGATGTTGCTATTATGCCGTGCTTTAGTACTTCTTTTTAGGAGTACTACTGCACGGCACAGTACAGGTGGTTACTGCACCATGCACATGGTGCACAGTTAGTTGTGCTGCTACACTGCCACAGAAGTGTGCTACACCAAGGGAGCATGCCACTAGGGTGACATAGCTAGCAATCATATGTAGACCCACATGATTGCTATGTCGCTGTAGCATACCATATGGTGATGTAGCTCGTCACTATGTTGTCGGAGGGCAACATGTAGATGCGCCCTTAGAGTCTGAAATGTCAGAATTACATATGTATAGGAAAGTTTTCCTGAAAAAACCCCGATATTTCAAATTAGGAGGAAACAGTTGTTCTACAATGTCACGGTCAATGAAATAGTGGACAAAGAAAAAAAGGGTTTTGATAATTTACTTAAACGTCCAAAAGGCCTTTGAAAAGCCCTGTTACAAAAGATTAGTAAAGAAACTAAGTAGCCATGAAACACAAAGTATTGTCAAAGATTTGGAAGCGATCTATGTCAGGTTTCAGAGTTTATGCCATTCTCTAATAAAGTTTAGGGTAAGACCTAATGTGGAGGCTATTAATCCGTATTTGCCTTTCTCTTCCCCGGATGCATATGATACTGTCACTATGAGACAAGGTAGATTTCAGGTCCAATGCAGTATAGTAATTACACTGCTACTAACTCACAGAATTTAACACTAATCCCTACCTCAGTCCCACATTGACTTCTTCATTACCAGCTATAATGGGGAACATGCTATAATTAGACAGGAACACTCAGTAGAGTTTAAAAAGAAAAAGATTGAATAATCCAATTCTCAGTTACAACTTAAATTAGGTCATTAAGGTGAAAACAGACCTTGAGGATTTCAAAACAGGTCCTTATTTTTACAGATAAAATACATATTTAGCAAGTTATCATTTTATTTTCCTGTTCTTAAAAGTCTCTCTCACCTCACAGTATCCTTCCAGGAAGTGAAGACTAACAGAAGTATAGAACACATTACAATTCTGACAGTTCTCTTCTTCAGTTTCTCATTTTGGGAGAAAGCAGAAATTAAGAGCACTGAATAATAACGGGTATAAAACCTAAAGCTTTGCTTTTAACCCCAGTTTAGTAATAAGCAGGAAGGCCTTAGGCAAATCATATGCCCTCTCTGTTTTCCCATGAAAATCAGATAATAGATACACACCCACCTTAGAGAAGCGCTGTATTGCTTGAGAAAATGTACAGACACTTTTTGAAGATACTGAACTATTGCAGGGACCTGCACAAAATGGAAACACAAGACGTGGACTTCCAGATGAATTGTTTATTGAATAAATACATGCATCATAACGTAGAATTACATGAGCAAAAAAAGCAATATGCTACAAAACTGATTACCCTTTGTTCTCATTTCAACTCACCAGTTGCTGCAGCTCTGATGAAGGATTCAAAACAAAAGATTAATCCCCTTAACGCAAATCCAAGGGACACAAGATGATCTAAGCATAGATTATACAAACCGAATGCAGGTTTTCCTGTCAGCAAAGCAGAGCACTTCTCGAAACTGTTCCAGTGTCAGTAAATACAACTAGCAAGGCTTGATTTTGTTTCTTAAACAATGGTTTAAACACTTTTACATGTTCATGAAATAAGGCACAGGATAAAGAAACAAACCACACTGAAGCTAATTAGCTGACATGCAAACCTGGATTTGCTAATCAGACAGGTTTTTGGGCCCAAAGGGAAAACTGATGCATCTTCATGTCCTCCTCTCCCACTTCAGCATTAAGAAGGAGCCATGTCTTACTCTAACTATCACACTGCAAGATTTGTTTCTGTTACCGTGGGTGGAGTACAGGTTCTTAATCTGACCCTGTATTCATCCAAAGTAACATTTTCAAAAGAGCTCAGTGCCCAGTAGGACTACTGGCAATAGGAGCCTTATGTGCTCAACTATGTTGAAGGCATGCCCTCTTCAGGTTAGACACCTACATGGAAGCCAGGTTCTTCCTGGCTTCATTGAGAATCATGTCTAATTAGGGGTGCTGAGCCACTCTCAGAGTCTGACTTGCAAATTCTATAATCAACTCAGCGCATTTATCAGCGCTACCACCTCATCTTTTACATAAACACAGCATTTTCCCCTTATGGAATATAGAAGGCAAACTATGCAGCTTTTTTGTCTTTGAACACTTAGACTTACAACAGAGAACAAGGCTAGGAGATTAATTTTAGCTAAGGAATGAACCCATTGGTGTTACTGGTCATGGAGTTATCCATTGCTGTCATCTAGATATACTCCAAAAATCTTTCCTTGCAGGGGGCTGAACTCAAGCGGAAGACACGTCACTGATTTATATTTCACTTATTTACATCATATTTTCCTTCCTACGCCTTCATTTACATCTACAGCAATTTTCTCTGTCCCTCTTTCCATTAAAGTTTAAACAGATAACTATTCCACAAAGAAAGTTATACATCAGAATATAGACCATTGTATGTGTATAGATGAGTGTGTGTACATATTTATATATAACCCCTGATACAGAGTGAAGCCTTTCTTAGTGACCCCAGACAACTGTGAAATACCATACATTCTTATGGGCGTAATGAGCCCCTGTCTCCACAGTCCAGTCTTGCGGTCTATATACAGGCAACACTTCCCATTCTATAAAATAACACAACTTCACTATAAAAGGCTACTACTGTAAACAGGTCTGCAGGTGTATGTGTGTGTGTGTGTGTGCGCGCACATGCGCGCACGCATGTGTAACAGATATGCCATGTGAAAACAAAACAGACTGACATCAAACTAAAATTAGTTAATTCATAATTTTGATAGACAACAGGATACATCTATGGTAGGCACTTTGGTATATCTAGCAATGTAGGTATATTCTACACCTAGAATTAAGGTTCGGTCAGTAATGTCATTATAAAGCTAATTTTTTCAGGAGATTATTATTCTGACTTAAAAGTTCTTTCTCGGCTGAGAGATTTTCTAGATCCTGACTGAATAATATACTTCTCATGTCTAATTGCATATTTACCCAAGATCATGAGGCTAGCAGCTCTGAAGGAGCTGGTCTGGTTTCCTGTATTCATAATGTACATTTTTATAACAGTCTGAGAAAGCTTACAAAATGGAAAACTAATTTTATACAAACAAATCTCCCTGTGATTACCTTAAGGTTGTAGTGGCACAAACTGATAAACTGCAGGAAACTCACTGGTTATGGTGATATTCTGGCCGCATTTCTCATTTGGCTACTTTCTGCCTGGGGTGCATGAATTACATTGCTCTTGCAGCAGACTATGGTAATGTTTCTCTGGAACGCCAGTATTTCACAGGGAATCTACCTAAAAGATGGCGTTCTGTAAGAGTGTTACCTCGGGCATTTGGTACCTTTGAGGCAACTGTAGAAAGAGTTTCAACTCAGGATTTTTTTTTCAGTCTCTCCCTTTTCTATTCTTCTTTATACTGTATTTAGTATAATAAAACTACCAGTAATCTGTTTGGTGAGCCTGAATTACAGATGACTTCATATGACTTATTAATCAATGTAATGACAATGAAGTTAGGAAACTTCTTCAAGTGGTTAGTTATGAGACCAGGTTCTAACACGGGAGGTCATTGTCCTTGTCATAGCTTCAAAAGGTCACATGTCTGGTACTATGGGTTACGGGAATAAATAGCAAAAAGGATTAATAAGTGAATCTCCATAATAAAATATTGTACTGTTTATAAGTGTTCATTTCTACATCAAATGAAAACTCAGATTTATATATCATGATTTAGGACAATCTTCTTTTATACAATATTTATAGAATTCTCAGCTCTAAACAACTTTGTTTATAATATTCTCTAGAATGACTTTCCAATAACATATTTCTATATAAATATTAAAATGTTGTTTTTTACATTTTCTTTTTACTAGCCTTACTAGGCCAGAAACGCACTGTCTAATCTTAATAATGTCTTTCAGGCTTTAAAAAAAGAAAAAGAAAAAAGGAAAAAGAAAAACCGTCAAAATATTTATCTTAAAACCATTTCGCTGCAAGGACAAAAAAAAAAAAAAAAAGGACAAAAAAAAAAGAAACATTTGTCTAAAGAATTTAGCATGCATTTAGAGGAAAATATTTATGTCCTTGATCTAATTTTCTTCTAACTTTAAAACACCATGGAAGAATTATTAAAAAAATAGTATATATTTACACAATGCAGTATATCTTGATGATATACAAAGCAAACAGGTAAACAATGGAACAACCACTTTCACTTTCTGAAAGGTACAACAGCCATAAAGTTCAATTTAAACACAAGAGGTTACTCTACTGTACTATTGCACATTACAGTAACGTGTAAAATAGTTTAGCAAATTAAAATACAAAGTTTAACAATAAGATTGGCTAAGTTTACATAAAATGACCAAGTGTTTTAAAACTACTGAGGTGTGTCTAATAGCTAAAATCAATGAAGCTATAAAAATAATATTGGTACATCTGTGGGAACAATGCTTTTAAAATATATAAAGGTTGGCAAAAGTCTGCTGGACGAAATCCTGGGGTCCATGGATGCCTAGGGTGCAACATGTGGCCTTGTACCTTCTTCTGTCAAATCATACCTAAAAAGGTTCTTCTGGCAAATCATACCTAAAAAGGGGAAGAGTGAAGGAGTTATTTAAAATACAACTATGTTATTTGGAAAAAAGAAATGACATTTTACTCACCATTTTGTCCAACCTTTGGAGAGTTCATCAGATGCCAGAGGTATCAATAACTGAAAAGAAAGATAAACAGTGCTTAAGGAAATGTGTGTGGATTTAAGGCAAGGTACAGATGGTTAGTTTCTACTGGGAGAATCACAATTCTCCTGGTAGACACCAAAAGCATACAGATGTTCAGGGTTTTTCCCCCAGAGCAGAATGGCCACTCCAGGAGTGGTAGGTAGTGGCAGTAGTCAGGGTTAAATTGGTCTCAGGAGACCATAGGTGCCAACTTCGTTTTTTGCTGGTAGGTGCTTTTTTTCCCTCCCATTTCTGCATCAAGCCCTACACATGCCCAGAAGAGGCAGTGCAATACTTCAACCTGGCTTGCCCTACATGGCTTTTGGGTGCTAAGCACCTGTTAATATTTTTCAGGGTGGGGCTTTAGCCCTGGAACACGCACAGAGTCAGCACCTACGCAGGAGAGTTGGGAGACTAAAGACCTATACACTTTTTCCAGTGTAATTCCTCCTGGGGCGCATCCACAAAGATGCACATGTGCCTCTTGCAGCATCTCAAAAGAGAGACTCCTTTGAGACACTGCAAGATGCACGCTGAGAACAAAAACCGTTCCCCGTGCTGCAAATTTGCAGCACAGGCTCAAAATTTGATACCTGGAAATTCAGGTATCAAAAAATACTCCAAGGAAGAAAAGCAGGACAGGGCATGGTCCCAGACTGTGGCCTGAGGCAACCAGAGTCCGGGTCCTCCACAGAGACGCTCTGGTAGCCAGCCAGAGTATCTTCTATGGCTGGTCCTTGCTCCAGAGCTGAAGCACGTTGCCTGCTCGTGTTGGGTAAGCAGCAGTGCAGGTAATGGGAACCTGGACCTGGGCTCCGTGCCAGGTAAGTAGGGAGTTGGGAGGGGTGGGGCTGAAGGAGGAAGCAGGGGACCATGGGGGGCCCCGCACCCACGCTGCTGCCACATTGCATGCATGCGGCCTGGCTCCACAGGGCACCATGCAGGGCCACACGCTGTCTGGCAGCTCGGGGCTGCTCATACTGAGTGGCACCGAGCCCCAGGTGACAGCTGCAGTGCCCCTGAGCTGTCTGACAGTGCGTGGCGCCCTGGCAAGCCAGGCTGCACCCAAGCGATTCAGCAGCGTGGGTGCCAGGTGTCCGGGGCTGAGCCCCACATAGGGGCTGTGCCACAAGGCCCCAAGTACCCCAATCACTGCTGCCACTGCTGGTAAGCTGTGGGCAGTGTGGGAGGCTGGAGCTGAGAAGGGGAGTGATTAGGGGAGGGCAGGAGCTGAGCAGGGGAAGCAATCAGGAGGCTAGAGCAGAGTGAAAGAATCCCTGAATTGTCTCCAGCCCCCTCCTTGTTTCTCTGCTCATGTCCAACCTACTGAGGCAGGAGACTGGAGACGAGCTGGGGGGGGCCAGTGGGAGGGCTCCGGGTGGGGGGTGCTGGGACACTGAAGGTGAGGCAGTGCATGTGCTACGTAAGGGGGCTGCACCCTGTGAGGCAGGGGACCCACCCCTCCTAAGCAGCCCCTCCACATAGTCCCCCCACCCCTTCTGCAAATCCCACATCCCCCCATGTGATAAGGAAACCAAAAGCAAACATCAAAACGTAGATATTTAGTATTTATTGTATTATGACGATAAAGACACTGGTAGGCTTCCAAATTGCTTTAAAATTGTAAATATAGCAATAAAACATTGCCCATCTAATCGATCCCTCTCTCTCTCTTTCTTTTGTTCTAATTGTGGACGAACATGGATTTTGGGGTATTTTAAAAAGTGAATTTGGGATGCTGCTTCAGCAGTCCATTTGGCACAATGAGTAGTGTCCTCAGATACCAAGTGCCCAGGCCTCAGAAGCTCCTGAGGACAAGTAGCCCTGAGCTGCTGGCCAGGACAGGTTTTTATACTGCTGGGGCCAGCACAGGTGCTGGCTCCTGCCTCTAGCTGCCCCTGGTGGCAGATCCAGGAGGAGCCAGGCAGCGTTATTTTGCCCCAAGTGGCACAATTTGCCCCACACCAAAATGCACGTCCAGGCATGTGCACTGAGGCAAAAAGCCCCAGTTCAAGTTTGTGCCACTTTTATCTGAGCTGCTGCAAATGCATGTGCCTGCATGTGTGGACATGTACCTGGGGTCCAGAAGGAGTAAAGTTGGGGAAAGGCTTCCTGCCTTCCTGTGCCTGGGGTCACCTCAGTCTTGAGAAGGCATGGGGTGTAGCTGCTTCCTCCTTCCCATAGACTGGGAGGTGAGGACAGCAGCAGCCACCACTCTCTACCTCTTCCTCAAATGGGGCGGTCCCTGATTTGGGGAGGAGGTTGAGGGCTTTGCTGGCTCTTGCCGGTTTATTCTCGTCACCCCCACCACACAATTGAATAGTGGGATGGTGATTTAAAAGCTAGCAGCTAGGAAAAGGGTTTGGGGGGCTTTTAAATTAGTGCCCTGGTGCTCAGCTGGGCTGTGGGTCAACAAGGGAGAGCACCTCCAAACACCCACTCCTGGTCCCTCCAGCTTTTAAATCACTGCCTCTGCTGCTACATTGAGTGGTAGGTAGTGGCAAGTAGAAGCCAAAGGGGCTGAGATCCAGGCATGCAGTGACTTTCCCCAGACCAGCTCCTGACTCCATCTAACTTCCTCTTGCTGCCCATGCCACCCAGCTGACCTGGAGCTGTGTGGGCAAAGCAGGCTGCTGTGCTATGGTGGTAAGGCTCAGGAGCTTTGCCACCACAGTAAAACACCCACAGCTCACTCTGCACTGCCCTCGGTCAACCTAGAGTATGTGGGGTGAGGCCGGCGGCAAACCCAGAAGTGCCACTGGCATTTCCCTCCCACATACTGGGGGGGGGGGGGGGGGACCCCAA